TAGCAAAGCGTAGACGAGGGGGTCTAATTCCATGGCTATAATAAATTTATAAATTAAAAAAACACAACTGGGACGTTTTAAAATGCTGTAATAATTAAAATTGATCAAAGTGCCGGTTATAGCAAACCGTAAAAAATATTAGATGTTATGTTTTATTATGTTTTTTCAATATTTTCTATATCTTGTTGCCTTTTACGCAGACACGCCAATGGATTTTCGTTCCCGGCACGCTTCATCCCCCTTACTAGTCCAAGAGCTAGCGATGAATCACTATCTATAATTTTGGCCGTCGAGTATAAACGATATTTAAAATTAAATCAAATGTCAACAGTAAACAAAATCCTGTTCTCTTCGAAATTGAATTCATGGATCTAGTTAGTGTTTGGCTGATCCGGATTCAGTAATCATGATTCAAACAGAGAACACTATAGTTGGTATAGTGTTCTCTGATTCAAAGCTGAGAGCAAAAGAAAGCGGCTAATACCTAAACTTTTTCTTCGTCTACACCGTCGTTGAAAGAGTGTTATTCCATGTAGTATAATATGCTCTAAGATTGGATAGGTGTTTAAAGTCCCTAGATTGACCTACGTAGGGACTTTAGTTAGGCGTATCTAGTTGTATCAGAATTGTATATGTCAGAAATATTACCGGAGCACCGGAGTGCCCAAAAGTAAAAATATAAGTATTCAGTGTACATTAAGTACAAAATGTCCAATGTTGTGGATACTTTAATAGAAATGGGCTTTAGTAAAGAAAGAGCGTAAGTAATTATTGTATGTATCTAAAAAGTATAACCTATAATTTTATAGAGAATTAGCAGTAAGTCGAACCGGTAATAATGATGTTCAAACTGCTATGGATTGGTTGTTGTCTCACGAAGAAGAGTTAGGACCTTCTGAGTCAACTCCTACCCCAGAAGAACAGCAGAACACTAATATTAGTGTATCGACTGAAGAAAATGCAACTGAAACAGTTCCTGAAGCTGTTTCTATACCAAAATCTATTCAATGTGATGATTGTGGTAAATTGTTTAAAACTAACGAGGAAGTGGAGTTTCATGCATCTAAGTCTGGTTAGTTTAATTAAATTTTATTTATGCGATGTGACCCTGTGTGTATTTATGGATTTGAGACTAATTTGATTTTTAAATGGCATCATTGTTTAATATGTATAAACTTTATTATACCTATGTTGGAATATTTTAATTATGCACTATGTAGCAAGTAATATAAGCATAAACGTACTATATATAAATAGAAACAAATAAATGTTTTTAACGGATCTCTTTAAATTTTTGACAGTTAAGAATCGAATTGATTAAATTTTTCACTTTATATATTATTATTTTAAAATTGTCTGTGCACAGTTAATACAACAAAAAAGATATATAAAAGTTTAGGTTTAGATTCATAATTATAAAAAATAACATAGGTACTAGGAAAAAGTGTCTACCTGTATTATTATTTTCAAAGGAAAAGTCAAAATAATCCTTGGAGTATGCCATCTTAATCTCTATGAATAGGCTATACAATGTGAATTATCAATAATTACTTATCATCGATGGTTTGAAAATGTTAATATGTTTAGATTATTTTTTAATAACAATCATGTCTAAAAATAAATATTTTTGTTAGCTCTCTCCTAATATTTTAATCATATTCTTTTTTATTAAATATTTTTTAATGGAAATACGGTATTTAGAAAAAATGTTATGTAGTTAAAAACGAGGTTAAAAATATCTAGTGATTATTTAAAAATTTAAGTTAATACTGTTTCTAGAATGCCATACTTCAAACATCTTTATCAAAAGGATATCCTCTCCACAGCTGTGTAAATCCCCTAACCTCTGTCTAAAAATAGCAATGATATCTTTTGTTGGTTATTTTATGATTTGATTAGTCATCCAGTACATTTAATCAGTGAGTGGTTACCAAGAAATTGTTATTTATTATTCTTAAATTCAGATCTTCCTAGTTACATAATCGATGTTTGTATGTCAGGTCATAAAAATTTCTCAGAATCGACAGAAGAGAAAAAACCGTTAACAGAAGAAGAAAAGAAAGAACAATTAGCTAAAATCGAAGCAAAACTTCGACAACGCCGTCTGGAAAGGGAGGCGAGGGAAAAAGAAGAAGCATTATTAAGAGAAAAAAATAGGATTAAATCTGGCAAAGAGTTGTTAGAAGCCAAAAAGAAATATGACGAATTGGAAATGAAAAAAATTGTAGAACAAAGAAAACGTGAAAAGGAAGAAGAAAAACTGGCCAGGCAAAGAGTAAGAGAACAGATTGAACAGGATAAACTTGCCAGAAAAACTAAATTTAGTGGCGCTACGAAAGCTGAGCCAGTCTCATTACCTGTTGCAGAACCGACTGTAGTAAAAACTGCTAATAATAGCTATTCTGAGGTTAAACTTCAAATTAGATTACCAAATGGTTCAGCTCTTACACAGACATTTGGAGCAAAAGAACCACTATCTGCAGTTAGATTGTACGTTGAAATGAATAGACAAGATGCTGATGGGCCCTTTAACTTAATGACAAATTTTCCTCGGAAAGTGTTTATATCTGATGATTATGATAAGCCTTTGGAAACTTTAGGTAATTATATGTTCTTTTGTTATTGCCTGTTTTAGATATTGTTATTATTGAAAGAGTGAATGCAAATAGTATGGTCTGGTTTGTAATGATTTTTTTTTCTGTATTTATCCTTATAGGGTATTACTGTCAGTGTTGATGTATTCTACTAACCAAATTGTACAGACAATTTATTTACCCAAAAAAGTTCATATAAACGTAGGTCAACAAACTTTTAGTTTTAGAGATACCGGGAGTTGAAGTGACAAAAGCCTGTGGGAGATTCTGCTCAACAAAACATGTAAAAAAGTTCATTTGAACATGGGTCTGCAAGTGCTTCGTTTCCGAGATACAGGGTGTTAATTTAAAAAAAAAATTGAGTTTTTTAAAAAAAAATGTTTTAGCCGATTTGAATGAAATTTTTATAGTTTATTAAAACAATTATCATATATCAACTGGACCAATTAGATTTGATCCAGAATTTTGAGGGGCATATCCAGCGAGCAAGTTATTTTCGTTTTGTAGAAAAGAATATCACCCTGTAGTTTTTTTTTTGCAGTTTTTATGTAATATTCAGATAAACCCACTAAAAATAGTACATTTCTGGTCTCGACTCATTTTAGTGTCTTGCTTTGTTTCAAGAACCTACAAAAAAAAATAACTTGCTTGCCGAAAGTTCTGTATCAAATCTAAATGGTCCAGTTGATGTATGGTAATTGTTTTAAAAACGGTAAAAAATTCCATTCAAATCGGCTAAAGCGGTTTTTTAAAAAAACTCAATTTTTTTTTCTTAAATTAACACCCTGTATCTCGGAAACGAAGGATTTGCGAACCCATGTTCATATGAACTTTTTTATATATTTTGCTGAGCAGAATCTCTCCTAGGCTTTTGTCACTTTAACTCTGAAGACAAGGGGACGAATGAAAAAGTGTCGTAAGGGGATCCCAACTAAAAAGTGTAGCACTATCAGATTCCACATGTCATAAGACCCCTGTCTACCAAATTTAGTGATTCTCGTACAACAGGGTTCTGAGATATAAAAAAACACTGCTCTTAGGATTGTTGCATTAATTTCGCACTATCCAGTATAGTTATAATGATTAAGTTTATTTGTCATTAATTAATTAGGCAGGTGTTTACTGCATTGCATCTAATACACAGCTTTTGTTTATGGCTGACATCATCAGTATGTGGATGGTCTGAAAAGTTTCCTATCTCAACATAAAGATGGCAGCACTCTCAACAAAAGCTAAGGGAATGTGTTCGCATATCTTTTGAAAGGTACTCACCAAAATTTCAGTCATTTTGGAAGAGCAGTTGTTTGACAATCATTTGAGTGAGTCGATGTGAGCATTTTTGTGAAAATGAAAAAAATCAAATATTGAGCTGTCATTACATATTCATTTTTGAAAGTCAATATGCCTATGCAATGACGAGTTTAGGCGCAATAAATCTGTGTTTTAGCGCCGATTAAATACTGTAGATGAAATTTAGATACAACATTATACCCCAGAAATAAAAATACAGTCAAAACACTGGATTACGAAGGGGGAATCAACTTCAAAAAAGCAAAAACTGTTATTTGGCTGTTTTTTTTTTTTTTTGGGGAAAAGCCACTACAGGAGCATATTTCATTATTACTTGAAAAGCTGAAGGCAGAAACTGCGGAAAAACACATTTGAAAAAAAAAATATTTTGTTTCATCAAAACAATGTGCTGTTTCACACCTCACCAGTTGTCATAAAATCCTCGAATTACAGTTTGAACTGCTTGACCACCCTCCTTACTCACCAGATCTAGCCCCAAGCGACTTTTTATTTGGTCTCTAAGCTAAAAGTTGCGGAGGACAGACAATTTCGTTAAATGAGGAGGCTATTCACCTTTGTAAACAATTATTTTGCAAAGAAATACGCTGATACTATTTGGACGGGTTAAAGAGATGAGAACATTGCTGGGAGAAGTATGTAGAGATACAAAGAAGCTCTGTAGAAAAATAAATTTGAAGAAAAAATTTCTTGTATCTTTGTAGGTCGGAAACTTTTTAGACCACCCATGTAAATTTAGTATTTTTAACCATGGATATAGTTTCTACCCCTGCAATTGTTATAATTTGTTTTTTTAACGGTAAATATGAGGAAATAGCAAAATTAATGCTTTAACAACATATGCCATCAATTACAGTCCATAGGATATTTGTTGAGAGAAATCCAAGGAAAGAAAAAGCCAATAAAGTTCCGTTATTGAAACTACTGTAACAATTTACCGCGGCATGGATGTGCCTTGAAATTTTCCGCCAACGTCTTTTTACCTCGAATGTCCCAATGCGGTTAATTCTAAGAAACTGACGAAAGGGTCTTGGAATTCTAACTCACCAAATATATCAATATAGAGACTATCAGAAGTGATACTGTTAAATTGTAATAAAATGATTACTATGTGCTTCACAATAAATATGTAGATACATTGATCTACCGTTATTGATAACATGATTAAAGAGAATAATAAAATATATGTAGAAAATTTTTGCAAGAAATATTGGCTTATAACTGAACACCCTGTGTTCAGTTATTAATCAACCAAACGCCTTCAGTAGATTCTACATACAATGAAAATTAAGGAAGGTAGATCAAGTAGTGTTGAAAAATGATTTATTTTGCAGATACAGTAATACCCCGACTTACGCTACCCCGTCTTATGCGAATCCTGATTTACGTGATTTTTAAATCTCGTCAATTCTGCATTTGTTTGAGCAACGCGCTACTCTTGCTTCCCCACTCCGTCCACACTTGTTCAGTTTACGGTGTGTTGATATGTTTCGCGCGAATTCAACGTATAACTACAAATTGGCCTGTTCTGGAAGAAGATGCCTAAAAGAACTTTTATCTAAAGCTGGATTGCCCGTGATTTGGAAGTCGAATTGTAAAGCTTGGGTGATAGCTTCCCTTTTTTGAGGACTGGTCTGGCCATCAGTTCATACCCGAAGTCGAACATTATTGCCAATCTAAACAAATCCCATTTAAAGTGATGCTATTAATCGACAACGCACCAGGTCATCCTCCTGCTACTTTAACTAATTTCGACTCGCGCGTTAAAGTTGTATTTTTACCACCAAATACAATCAGTTTACTTCAACCGATGGACCAGGGAGCCATCAAAACATTCAAAGCTTATTACACCAGACGATCGTTTGCGCATCTGCATGAAGCTATGCGACAAAACAAAGAGCTCTCTGTCAAAGACTTTTGGAAAAAATTCAATGTTTTAGATGCCGTGAGAATCATTGGACAATCTTGAAATGAAATTTCACAAAAAACTTTAAATGGTGTTTGGAAAAACTGTCAATTTTTTTTCACCACTGAAACTTGGGCGGAATCAGCTCCAGAGCCTGATGAAATTGGTAATGTGATTGAAGAAGTTGTTGATCTTGCCAGACAAATAAATTTGGAAGTGGATAGTGATGACGTTCAAGAACTGCTGGATTCACACAATCAAGAACTGACAATAATTGATGAACTCATAGAAATGCGTGAGCAAGAGCAAGACATTGAAGAACCTGATTCTTTAGACCCAGTTCAATTAGAAGATCAAATGACGGTTGTAGACTTGACAGAAGGCCTCAATCTAATTGAAAAAGGGTTACAAATTTTGGAATGTTTTCCAACGAAGAGCGCATTTCTGCTACAAAATGGAATAAGAAAATTATTAGCGTGCTACGAAGAAATTTTGCGTGAGAAGAAAAAATCTGATACGTCAGACGACTTTCTTAGATTTTATGAAGATTTTCTACGTAGAAATAACTTCAGTTTACAGTTTTGCAATTCATAATATAATTTTTTGTATTAATTTAAGATTTTATTACACATTTTTCTTTCAAATTTATTGTTTTTTTTTCAGTCTTCTGTTCCAAGTATAGTCTGTACGATATTTGTTGAGATAGAATTCCAAGAATACCCTCGCGTTACTTTCTTGGAATTAACCACATTCGACACCCTGGGTAGAGTCACTGGCAGAAAATTTCAAGCCACGCCCCAAATATCGTATGGATATAATTTGTATGTATTTATATGCAAATTGTACTTTGACTTATGAGAATTCGACTTATACGGTTATCGCTCGGTCCCACCTATCGCGTAAGTTCGGGGTATTACTGTACATGGTTTTGAAGTTGAAAATCTTCATGATCATCTACAATTTTATACAAATACTAAAAACCAGGGGTGTGCAAATTTCATCCTTGGGACCCTTTTATAAAAAATATGTTATAAAAGTAGAAATAATGACATTTAAAATTTTCATTGATATTTTTTATCTGTTATTAAAATGCATGATTGCAAAGGAAAATGGATTTCAATTTTCTGCTGCAGTTATCATTTATGGACAGCAGCATGTTTTGGTGTATTATAATTCTATAAAACATCACGTTTTTTTTTTATTTTTTACTGTAGTGATCATCTGTTACGATTTAGACCAATAGCTCAATCCAAATGCTGAGCTGTCAGTTGAAGGATTTACATTCAAAGGTACCTACATTTCAATAAGGTAAGTTGGTCTAAATCGTAAATAAATAATCAATACAGCTACAAATTTAGCAAAAAGACAATTAATTGTATTAGAATGCACCAAAATACTCATATGTCTAATTGATAGCTAGAGAAAATTGAAAATAATTTTTCTCTGGAATCATGTATTTTAGTAAGATGCAACAGGTATATCCTTTATATTTAAATATGAATTAAACATTTTAAATATGCCACTATTTTTGTTTTACACAGCAACATTAATTTTTTTATAAAAGAACCCTAAGAATGAAGAATTGATTTTCTATGCTGAGATTAGGGTTGCCAGGTTTTGATGGTACATCTCCGGGCTCCAGGTTAACATGTCATTTCTCCGGGTTTCCTTTTTTGCGAAAAAACATTTCTTGATTCTTGATCTCTGTCACGAAATAGATTGTTCACGAAGTAGATATTTCCTGATTACGTCCTTTTTTTTTTTGTAGACATCGATTTCTTCGAAAACAACAATTTGTTTGCCAGATTTCCTTTTTTTTTAGGCATCAATTATACAAACGAGTCATATTTCCGGGTCTGTCATGAAATAGATCTGGCAACCTTATCTGAGATATGCCTGAAAGCAGTTTTAATTTTTTTTTAACTTCTGTATCAGAAATGGAGCATTTTGTATTGTTGTTTTGCTATTAAAAAACAAATATTGAAATTCATTAGCAAAATATTGTTACAGATAACTTTTTTAGAACACAATTTGATCAACATATTGATTGATTGATTGATTTAATCATTTTTTTTAGGCTTGGCTCCGACGGCGACACTATTTGTACAGAAATCCTAAGATGCCTTATATATAACAAGCGCTGGTTATATATAAGAAGCTTCCATCTCATCCTAGAAGCTTTAACTGAAATGATATTGTACATCAGTTATTACTGTAAGTTATAATTTTATTTCCTTTTTTGTTATCAGTTTTTTAAATAATAATTAGTATTTGGAAACTAAAATATAATTTTTTTGTGTGTGGAATATTGAAAATAAAATAGTGTTTATATTTTTAAAGATTACTGTGTGCCTCATATATTTATGTCCTTTATTACCTTGACCTCTCCAGTACGTTTTAAATTTTTAAATCCATTACTTGATTATACATTATGTCGATTTAAAAATTTCTCTATTATGCAGGAAATGGTTCGAAATATAAAAATTTCCCAACATTGGTTGACCTTTGTTAGAATGGCTATTTTTTGTGATATAACCACAATTATGATCCTTTTAATCCTATTTGTATATAATTTTAAAGGTTCTCAATTTTAAGTTGTGCACAATGGTGCAAGAATTTATGTATATGTTTATATTTATTTTTTTATGACTAAAATGACAGGTCTGATCCTTACAGATTTACAGGGTGTTTATAAATAAGTGTGAAATATTTTAGGGGGTGGCTTCCAAAGTTATTTTGTGAAAAAAAGTTCATATAAACGTAGGTTGAAATATGCTTTGTTTCCGAGATACAGTGTGTAAATTTAAATTTTTTATTTATTTTTATTAATTATTTCAAAGAATTTTTAAGATACTGACTTGAAACTTGATGGTTGTTATTTAGAAATATTGACAGCAACCTACTAGATAATGAATCAATATAAATTAAAAATACACAACTTGCAATAAAATATGTCATTTTTTTCCTCAAAAACGGTGCATCTTACGAAAAAAATTGAAGAGACCAATTTCATTTAGGATTGATGACGGATTTCTAAAAAAATATCAAAACGGGAAGAAATCAGCGGCGTGCCGGCGCACCATTTTTTTTTTTATTAAAAAAGGTTGTGGCATTCTCGCATGAATGCCACTGGTGGAAGTCGAAATGTTCGGATCACCCCAAAAATGCACATTTATCCCTCCAAAGCATTTTTCAAATTAAGATTTAAACACTCGGTATCTCGACCTAAGTTTATATGAACTTTTTTTTACAAAATAACTTCGGCAACCACCCTCTAAAATATTTCGCACTTATTTACAAACACCCTGTATAGATTTAACTAACTTGATAATTATTACTCCTGTTTAGTTGGTAAAATTTGCAAAAATTCTCCGTCACCCATATTTATAAGGGCATAATAAGTAAATGTGACAGACTTTTTGGAAGAGTCCCCGTCTAGTATTTTCATTCATTGACTGCTTGTTTAACTATAAATACATTATGTTTGAAAAAGTTGCCATTAATTCAGAGGCTGGCTGAATAATAAAAAAATAAGATTTTTCATATGGGTCTATTCTGCATGTAAGTTATAGGACTTTAAAAATATTTTTGAAATTCAAATTTTAGCTTTAATTTTTTCCGAAAAACAATGTACTGTATTAAAATTTGGTATAAGTAAATTTTTGAAGGTTCTAAATATGTCATTGTTGTTAGGTCTCGATTCTTATAGAATATTTTAGAATACAGCTTTTTAGAGGAAATTTTAATCAATATGGAAATAACAGGTTTATGAAAAATTTTTGGTTAATATTCTAATATGCTGGTGCAGTCGTTACAACAAATCTGTTTTTGTCCATGTCACATAGGTTTTCTTTATTTCATTACAGCTATAATTTCCTCTCTTTTGTTCAAATTAAATATAAAAATAAATTTCTTTATGTCTGAAATAGGTTCAAGTTCATAAAATTTTCATCCAAATATCTACAAGATGGGATTGTAGGTTGCAGGATAAACAGTGATTGAAAGGAACTGACATAAACCATGCTCTTTTTTAGAGCTAAAATCCTGACCAACTTGATTGGTTTTCAATCTATATAGATTAACACAATTTCTATTGGTCCTTTGTGTGATATAAAAAAGATTATACGATTTTTATACAATTTTTTCCATAGAACAGTTTCATACTCGGATTTTCTCTTTATTTCATATTTTCAGCTGTTTTTTTTTTGGAACACCATGTATATTTTTATGCCATTCATTGTATATATTTTTTAATACTTTTTAAACAACATGGTGTAGTTTATACAGTGTATTCCATCATTGTGCTCTGAAAAGACAAAACTTATTTATTTGTAAATTTAAGATGAAATGTCATTTTCTGCTTTTTTTTTAATATTACTATTTTGTTATTTGATATACAGGGTTTTTAAAAAATAATTAAATTGCACAAATTTCTTTAAATAATGAAAAAATTACTAGATGATATTAGTTTGAAGGTCGTAAACATTAAATTTCTATTATTAACTACATGATTTTTTAGTATGTAGGTGGTTTAGATACACTTATGATTCTTGTAATTATGTTAGAAAATGATTAACAAATAATAAAATGTAATAAATTCAGATTGGAACTCCTAAAAGGTCTTTTGGATTTTCTTGTTCCAGTATTGGCTTATAGATGTCTTGTAGACTTATTCAAAATTCTAAAGTTTTACTTGATATTATACCATTAGAATTAGGGATGTTTCGAAATTAATATACTGTAAGAAATAACAAAAAAAAAACAGTACCACTGCCAACATATATCTAGCAGGATTTCTGGATTCAATCTAGAATACATCCGTAATTTAATAACAGAACATTAAAATGTAATCAAATTTTATAACTTTCTAGAAGTTCTGATCCGAAATCAATGGACTTGACTAATTATTATTTTTCAAACTAGTTTTGTGATCTTCCTAGAATTTCTAACATAATTTCTAGGTGACAAATTTCAGTATTTAAACAAAGTAGAGTACATATGGTCGCTTTAAAATTTTTCTAAGTGTTAGGTACACCCTCTATATTGTTGCTAAAATAAAATAGTATTTCGGAAATTTTCATTTAAGTATCGGGACACATATTTATACTCCCAAAATTCTGAGATCTCATTGGCCAGTTGCAGTTTAGTTTAGTTTATAAATTCATTTCATTCCTGAGTTGAGTGTTCATGTTTAAGTATCTTTGTCTAGTCACTCGCAATAAACTAGGGACTTTATTCTTGAATTATAGGGAGTAGAAGAAATGAGAGAAAAGGGGCGTGTCTCTACTAAAACTCATTAATCGGTATTCTTGGATGGTGTTCTATTGAGTAATGATAGAACAATTGTTCCCTATTTCTTCTACTGGTATTTTCGGGGGAACAGGCAAGGATCATTAAACCTAACCCTATATTTTTATTATTTTTTGACATGTTTCACAAATTACGAATTCCGCAATCTGTCTGTAATATCTCTAGTTACTGTTTTGTGGTGATATCCTTCAAGAACTTGAGGAAACGTTCGTATAATTTGTGTTTATTTGAAGGATTGTACAGTACACAAATAAAATAATAATAGAATAAAATGGATCTGCCTAATATACCTAGTATTAAAGTATTTGTAAGTTCTTCCCAGTTAGCCCTCATTTTCTCTCTACTGTAGCTGGGTGTTAACTTTCCAGTGTACATTTGTATTTTACCCTCAATATATTCTATTAGAAGTTCTTTTTGTTTAGAACTTACTGGATTTAGCTTCGGTTTTTTATTAATTTCCATTTTATTTCCTCTTTAGACTGCACCTGACACTGACAAACAAATAACAATACTAAATAAAGTAGCACTTATTTCATGACTAGCTCATCACTAGTTTTCATTCTACCGCATATTTACTGTTTTCTGATTGGTCGGTACATTTGACAATATTGTTCCTCGTTCTTCACTTTCTTAGCTCGATCCTTTTGTGTCAAGAATACAGTATGGATTTTGTGATAGAACAGTAGTAGAGCGAAATGAGGGAACGTTCCCCAGGGAGCATTCTATTCTCTCACTGTCAAGAATCGAGCTCTAGCAAGCAAGCAAGCCTCGAAGTGGTTTACCACAGTATAAATTTTCAACATTCTCGATTTATTTTAATTTTCCACCAACTTTTCGCACAAACTCTCAGATACATTCTGTTCTAATTTTTGTTTATCACACACATATTTTTGTAAAGGATTTTTAGTATATTTTTTCAAAATTGTTCACTTTAAAGTAGTTGTATATATATTTATATTATAATCTGTTATCACTATTATTTAAATTAATCATATTATTCTTTATTGTATTTATTCCTATTTACTTATATTAAAACATTATTATTAGCCTTATATCGTCAAGTAATAACTTCCACAAAACTAGTAACTTAGCTGACCTAATTATCTGTGATCAATTTTCTTTCCAAATCATATTTTTGAATCATCGTTTTATATGGTAAAAGAATTCTTGTTTTGTTGAGGGAAACAAAGTCAAACTTCCCAACCAAACCATACCCGCAAAATTACCAACCGCAATTCCAAAAAATATAAAATCTAAGAAAACAGCCATTCCGAATGAGAATATGGCGCCCAACGTGGGGCCACATCCATCAACATGGAGCAATATTCAAATGAGAACCTCTGAATAAGAATATCAAATCAAGACAATAAAAATACTTTTGAGACTGATAATACATATTCTGAAAATTTTATAAGCAATGACATTTTCTCTTAAATTTAAAAATAGAAGAGTTTTTCTTATATAGGACACACTTGTGGGATGCATCGTTTACTTTTCTGAATATACAATCAAAAACATTTCTTTATTAAATTAACTATAAAAATTTATTCATATCTCCGAATTTACATTGGATTCTATTTCAAAAAAATTCAAATTCAAATTCTATTTCAATGGATTTCCGTATTTAAATTATGTCTCACAGCAACTTTTTAATGTTCAAGTTAGTAATAATTGTTTTTAATTTAAATTTAACATTATTCACATTCAGTGTGGGAGTTTTGAGCATTGCACCTTATAATTTTTTTTGCATTTTATTGTTTATTTATCGATAAGTTTTTAATTGCTTTCAGTGTTAACGTGAATTTGTTGGATAACATTGTGAGCTTCTAATTATAACATCTGCTTTATTAACTATTAAACTGCCCAGTTATACAAATTAATATAATGTATAATAAATATATATCTTTCCCTATTTGTTGAGTGAATTTCAACTTTTTTCTAACGCTTTTTAAATAATGTGGTGTTTTCAACTGTAATGAACTACTATAT